AAATTTTGTGAAGATACGGGGATCAAACATCAGTTAACTATACCTTATTCTCCCCAGCAAAATGGTGTTTGTGAAAGGAAAAATAGAACGATTATGGAGATGGCCAGGTGTTTGATGTTTGAGAAGAATATACCTAAGGAATTTTGGGCAGAAGCCGTAAATACTGCTGTGTGTTTACTTAACCGATTGCCAACAAAATCCTTAGATAAAAAGACTCCATATGAAGCCTGGTATGAGAAGAAACCTGGTGTGTCTCATCTGAAAGTGTTTGGTAGTATATGCTTCATTCATATTCCTGATGTAAAGAGGGATAAATTGAGTCAAAAGGCTGAAAAAGGTGTGCTGGTTGGTTTTTGCAACAATGCTAAGGGATACAGAGTTTTTATCCCACAAAGCAAGAAGATAATATCCAGTAGGGACATCAAAGTTGATGAGGGATCTACATGGAATTGGGATGCAAAATCAGTCACTCGACTTCAAAATCCTAGAATTACTCCACAACCAGATGATGATGATGATAATGAAGAAATAGAGGATGCTGAGAGTGACAGATTCTGAAAATGTGGTGATAAAAACTAGATCACTGGAAGACATATATGCTAGATGTAATGTTGCTGCTATGGAGCCTTCAAACTACACTGAAGCAGCAAGATCAAAATGGTGGATGGATGCAATGAAAGAGGAACTAAACATGATTGAGAAAAATGGAACCTGGAAGCTGGTTGATAGACCAGAAAATAAGCATGTAATTGGTGTAAAGTGGGTGTATAAAACGAAGCTGAATCCAGATGGTTCTATCAACAAGTTTAAAGCTAGGCTGGTCGTGAAAGGATACTCTCAACAATATGGAATTGATTTTACTAATACTTTTGCACCAGTGGCCAGGTATGAAACAATCAGATTGTTATTTGCAATGGCTGTTCATAGAGGTTGGAAAATCTATCAATTGGATGTTAAATCGGCATTTTTGAATGGACACTTGGAGGAAGAGATTTTTATTGAACAACCTGAAGGTTTCCAACTTGAAGAGGCAAGTGAAAAAGTCTATCTATTAAGGAAGGCCTTGTATGGACTTAAACAGGCTCCTAGAGTGTGGTATAGCAGGATCGATGAGCACTTGAGCAAACTTGGTTTTTTGAGAAGTGTGAATGAACAAACCTTGTATATAAGGCAAGAAGAGAACGAGATGATCATCATCTCATTGTATGTGGATGATCTTCTAATCACAGGAAGCTGCTATGCAAAGATCAATGAAGTAAAAGATGAATTGAGAAAGGTCTTTGAGATGACTGATTTGGGAGAAATGCACTATTTCCTTGGCATGGAAATATTTCAAATTCAAAATGAGATATTTGTCTGTCAAAGGAAGTATGTTAGGGAGATGTTAAGGAAATTTAATATGGAAAACTGCAAGGCAGTAAGTACTCCTCTTGTGCAAAATCTGAAGCTGATAAAAGATGATGGTTCTAAGAGGATTGATGAAAAAATATATAGGAGTATGACCGGATGTTTGCTGTATTTAACTTCTACCAGACCAGACCTTATTTTTGCTGCCAATATCCTATCCAGATTCAGACAGGAACCAAGTGAACTCCATTTTCAGGCTGCAAAAAGGGTGCTGAGATATGTGAAAGGAACTGAAGACTTGGGAATCTGGTTCAGGAAATCAGAAAGCTTGGAATTGACTGGATATACAGACAGTGATTGGGCTGGCTCGAGTGATGATATGAAGAGTACATCTGGCTATGTGTTTTATGCTGGAACAAGTGCTGTATGCTGGAGTGTAATGAAACAAAAAACGGTCGCTCAATCTACAGCTGAGGCAGAATACGTAGCTGCTTCAGAAGCTACTAATCAAGCAATATGGCTAAGGAAAGTTATGGAAGATCTTCATTACAAGCAAGAAAAAGCTACTGTCATTTATTGTGATAATCAGTCGGCTGTGGCTATGGTGAAGAACCCGGTATTTCATGGAAGGACAAAACACATTAAGATCAAATATCACTCAATAAGGGAGGCACAAGACAGAAAAGAAGTCCAGCTAATGCATTGTAGTTCTGAAGATTAGGATGCTGATATTTTCACTAAATCTTTGCCTAAAATAAGATTTGAAACATTGAGGAAAAGACTTGGTGTTTCCAACAAAAGTGTCAAGAAGGAGTGTTGATGATTGTGTGCCACTTTTGCTGTCATATTTTGTATTAATTATATGTATTAAATCAGTACATAGTATGGTTATTTTTGTGTATTAAAATGTCCATCAGAGTATGGTGATTTCAGTCAACAAGTAAGGTGTTGTTAGGTGGTAGTTGTTGACTAGAAACATGGTAGAAAACTATTGTAATATATACATGTTTGGAACCAGTCGAACTGAGCTGTAGCTGGTTATTTTTCATCCTAAATACAAGTCTTTCTCTTCCACTTTGTTGACATTATTCCATCACTACATCATTATAATATAAAACTTCGAGATTTACCATGTGATGTTTTTAATTCAAGTAATACTTTGTACTATTGCAGAAACATATAATCTGATATTCATTTTCCAGTTTTTAAACGTAATGTCTCAGACCTTATTAGGGTTTCTGATTCACGATTCAAAAAGGTGATGCAATGTATTTCAATTCAAAAAATATTTCTTCCAAATTCAAGAATCACATTCCCAGCATATGGTTTCACGATTCACCTAATTACGTCTTAATTGTAACCTGGAAATATGGCTTCATGAATTAGTATCTCTAATCATTGTGTTGACTTGATTGCAATTCATATTGGCATATGGATATATGTTGTTTATATGAAATGGCTTTCGTGTTTTCTTTGCTTGTTCTTTATGGTGCAAACTTTAGAAGCGATTATGGCTATTGCCATATTGTGGAGAAAACAATGTTTTGGAAATTGGAAAATGAAGCTTCAATTTGGTTGATTTGGTGTGTGAATAACCCTAACCTCCAATTAGGGTTTATAAATTGGCGGATAAACCATAATCATGCATGTATTGAAGATCAAAACATTAATTCTGAAAACGTTTTGATAGATTAATATGTATATGATCGGCGTGTGATGCTGAATTTGATTCTTAACAGGATTCTAGATGAAGCTAATTGGGGATGAATGTGAAACGATTCTATTTTGGGGATTTTGACTATAAAAATATAGTAAGTGGCATGTTTTAGGGGATAAAATTCAGCTCACAATTGATTACATAGTATGGGTGAGGTGATTTCCTCTTTTCATATTTTACTACATTTTTACAGTAATTCTATAATAAAATTAGTTATATAGTAATTCTTAAATTTTATCAAATAGTAGGTGAGGGGCGTAATTTCCACCATAGCGATTCTATCTTGTCGTAACAAGGCGGGGCCTAAATTTTTTTCTTTCGTTGTTCAATTTCAATTGTGAGCCCCATCACTCTGATTTCAATTGTTAACGAGATGCCTTTCTAAGTTTAAAAATTCTTATGGAGTGCTTTATATTAGTTTTATTTTTCTTGAAAACATTTATTTTCCCACTTAAATTTTTATTTTTGGAATGTTTGATTGACAATTTTTTTTCATGACAAAAACATTTTTCAACTTTTTGTTATATAATCATATTTTTCTCAAAAAGAAGGAAAACATTTTCTTTAGGGAGTGATGCTTTTTTTATTTTTCAGGTAATTCACTCTTTTTCATCTATCCATTCTCTCTCATTTACCCAGCAATAAATAATGGACAAATATAATATTTTCTAAATTGAAAACTAAATCAATCAAACACATTTAATTAATAATTTTCATACAAATAATTTATAGGTAATTAAATTACCTAAAATTTATTTTCTTTCCTTACAAATTATATACTCACAATCAAACACACCCTTAAAATTATTTTCATGTTTTCAGTTGATTATCATACTCTTTATAATTTTTATTTCTTTCCATTAATTAAATTTGAACTCTTCTTTTTCATAAGAACACCCATTAACCTTACTATTATTATTATTGACCCTCATCAATGTTATAATCTTCTCCAAACATTTTGCATTATTTTCTATTTTTGGGTTCAATTCTCGGTTAGTGTTGATATATTTATTGGGCTTATGAGTTAATTCGTTTCAATGAATTCTTCTTCTCTGTCCCACTTTGATTCCAGTTCATCTAACTTTGTGTCAAAAGCTTGGTTTGATTGAGTTCATCCTATTTGATTACTTACAAACCATGAAACGATAAAGTATGTGTAAATGAATTGTCCCCGATTTTGCCCATGTCTGAAGGTCATTATTTTCTCATTTTCAAAAGAAATCCAACCGTTACTTTTGACTTGCATCTCACCAAATTTTGAAAGATTGTACGCCAACGGTCAAAAAAGCCATTTTTATGAGGTAATAATGCTCCTCGAACAAGGACTTTTTATGATTAGAGCTGTTCAAACTCAAATTATTAGTGCATAGCACAAGAACTACAAACACGTCTTTACATGCCCAATTTTTTTTTTTTTTTTTTTCCCAATCTGAATTTCAATATAAAAAAATCTTGATTAATATTATTTCATTAACTAGAACTATCAACTTGTTGAAAACCTTTGCTTGGTCAAGAATTGAAACCTAGTTCTTGTTCACAAGAAGCCAGATTATGCTTTTAATTTGTATTATGTACAAATAAGTTAACCAAACGGCCAAACCTTTATAATTATGATATAAAATACTTCGTTAGAAACAAAGTTTTATTTCTCATTAATTTATAACTTCGTTCACTTCATTCCAACAATATTTTATCCATTAAAAATTCTAAATTAATTCTTGGTAGGAAAATAATTCAAAAGCTCCATCTTTTTCTTGCGAAATAGGATTTAGTTAGGTTATAGGTTTATCCACTTCCTACCATTTACCTAATATAACGTAGCATAATCAAGACAAGTACAGTCGATTAATTGTTATTGTTGATACTTGTTTATAATTTTAACTACACTTCACAATTTTTCAATAAAATATTTCATCAATTAGAACAAAATACTTGAATTAAGCAAAAAATAATCAATTTTTCTCTTTCCATGGCTTCTACGGTACACCTCGATGAGGAAAATCGTGCTTAAATCGTACGAGCACGGCACCATCACCCCGAGCTCTCCTCCTCCCCGTCTCCTTTATGTCTCTGTTTCTATGGAAAATTGAAATGTTATCTATCTACAATTCGTTAAACGTATTATAGAACTGTATAATACTTATACTAGCTCTCAAAGAATTATATATGTTCTATACCTATACGTATCTATTATACACGTCATGAATGAATCCTGAATCAACTACACTCTGTTTCTCGCTCTAGGAAAGAAAACCGGCAATTACAGTCTGTTTCTGTGCTTACATATATGTGTATATAGATATACGTGCATATAAATCATAGTGTGAGTAGGAGCCATCTGGACTGGGATTATGGAGATTGCAGCTGCAGCAGTTATTGTGCCGTTGGGTGTTCTCTTCTTCCTCTCTGGCCTTGTCGTCAATTTCATTCAGGTTTGTATATACTCATTCATCCCACGACCCACAAAAAATTGAAACACAACTCATTTTTTTTTTTTTTTTTTTTCACTTTGAGGTCATCTAGAAGCTAATTATGCAAGGATTTTTGTTTCACTCGTGCTGTTTAGTTAACAAATTTTTGAGGTTTTCATTTCACGCGTCCTTTCTGTTAGTATTTTTGCTATTTTTTGGCTTCTTTTATTGATATGTTTGAAAATATGTGGAACTGAATGGATGAAATTCTGCAGGCAGTATGTTTTGTGCTTATAAGGCCATTGTCGAAGAACACATACCGGAGGGTGAACAAAGTGGTGTCGGAACTTTTGTGGCTCGAGCTTGTTTGGCTCATTGATTGGTGGGCTGGTGTCAAGGTGATGAAATTTGAATCGTAGTATAAAGTTTCATTTTGATGGTAATGTTGTTATTTCGGCACATTACAAGATAATAAGTTTTAAATTTTAGTACACAATTGCCATGTGAAAAAAGCAATACTCTGCTTACTATAAAATTCAAAGCAAGTGCAGTTAGGATCCTGAAAAGTTGATTTAAAATTGGAAGATCATTTTTATGTAAAAGATGTTAGCTTGTCCCGTTCCGTTGAAGATTGAACTCATCTAAAACAAGCAATCCATGCAACATATGCCAAGTCTGAAAGCACATTTATGCCTAGTAACAATAGCTTAGGAATTTTCTTGAAGTTTCTACCGCCTAGTACAACCAGGAACATAGTAATATTGAAATGTCTATATCGAAGATAGAGATGTTAGTATTTTTCTTGCCGAATAAACACAGGGTGTGGCTTACTCAGACATAAAGGCAGTTTAAAAGAATGATCTCTTATAAGATCAATTTTTAGTTTATCGTTCTTAACTAAGTGGTTGTGTCTTCTTCTACATTTGCTTCATTTAGAACTGATAAGATGCGGAGCACGTTGCGGAACCTGTATAAGAAAGTGGACAATTATCTGATAGCAATGAGGCTGGTGCCCGCCATTTGTGTTTTAGCTCTAGAAGTGTCATCCAATAAATATGATGTGGTACCAAATGAGTTTATCACCTCAAAATTCGAAGTGCAAACAAGATATAGAACTTAACTTTTGATTTTGGATTTTTATCATTTCCTTCTGAATAATTGGTCTCATATTTCATTTTTTTATTGCAGATACAATTGTATATGGATTCAGAAACCTTCAAATTAATGGGTGAGTATAGAACTTCTATTTTCAAAATTTGTGCCTGGATTCAAATAAAAGTTAGGCTTTCTCTAGTTACTCATACTATCGATTATGCTTGTATTTTTCCAGGTAAAGAACATGCACTCATCATGCCGAATCATAGAAGTGACATTGATTGGCTTGTTGGATGGGTTTTAGCTCAGGTTTATCATCTGCTTTTTGCTTCTATGCAACTCTATGTACTTGCAAGGTCATATTGGGAAATTGCCGCTTCCATCCATATTACATCTTCATTGCTTTATGCACAAATTTTTTGTCGGCACATCCTTTTTTTTTTTTTTTTTTTTTTTTTTATATGACCATGTGGTGTATTCATTCCAGATATGATAGAATTATTGTTTTTTATGAGACATCTATATCAGTATATAGGAGATATGGTGGTCAAGAGCACATACAGAGGTGTGTGTGTGTCAGCAGGTACACATCAAGATGTGCATGCATAGATATGTAATTTTAGTTTTATAGAACCTGGATTGTATGTGCAAGCTAAGAAAGATAAATAAAAGTACAATTTTTTTCGGCAGTGCTTGGGATTTAAGTTGGCTCTTGATTATAATCGTTGCCATTAAACTTCCGTAAATTGATCATTTGATCTTCTAATGACAGAAATCAGGTTGCCTTGGTAGCTCACTAGCTGTTATGAAGAAATCATCAAAGCTCCTCCCGGTTAGCATCTAATATTCACTTCTGTTGTCACAATGCTATGGTTAAAGACTTGATCCTTGTTATGGTCCAATGCTGTTAGTCAAGTGATTCAGTCAGTAAATTTAGAAGGAAAATCCCAATATAGCCTGTATTTGTTCAAGCGGGCTCAATCGTATCAAGCCCATAAAGTTCTTTTCTCCCTTGTTCTAGACGAGCTTCATGAATCTTGATAATGTAAAATTGGTTATCATCTGGACAATTAAATTGCATGAAACTGTAATCTTTGATTCTTTATATTATAAATTTTTACTTAAATTTCATAATTTCCCTCTTAGTAGTTAATAAAAATTTTGTTGTTTTCATATTTATGTTCTTATCAACTGTGACTGAGCAAATAGAAATAAGGATCCCCTGCTCACTCAGTTTTTCTATCTTACATTTTCTTAAGTCCTGTCCTAGCCTTTTGTTGGAGTCCCTGGTGGAATAAGACATGGGAATGAGTCTATTCTTATCTGCATTACGCAGGTGATAGGATGGTCTATGTGGTTTTCTGAGTATCTCTTTCTTGAAAGAAGCTGGGCCAAGGATGAAAGCACTTTAAAGGTATGTTTAAAGATGAGATTGGTTTAATTCCAGTTTGTATGTGCATGTCTATCTTTTTTTTAATATATCTACTAACTTGTCTTTCTCTTCAATTTCTTGCTTCTTAAATCTTTTGATTTTCCTGAATATCTATTGCAGTTAGGTTTTCAACAGTTAAGGGATTTCCCCCAACCCTTCTGGTTGGCACTCTTTGTTGAAGGTACCCGCTTCACTCAGGCAAAACTTTTAGCTGCTCAAGAATACGCAACCTCAACTGGACTGGCTGTTCCAAGAAATGTTTTGATTCCTCGTACAAAGGTATCTGGCTATGCCTATTTCTACAATGGATTTTTTATTATTATTTTTAATTATACTGCAGCTGCTATTCTATCTTTCTCATATTTCTTACGTTCCTTGCTAGTCAACAAGACTTCTAAGCATAGTTATCAGACCCGACTCGAACATCCACCCGATCAAGGGATTGGGTCACTGGGTTACTGGTTGGACTGGTGGGTCATTACTTAAAAATAATTTATTAATCTTTAAAGTATAATTTTTTATTTTTTTATTTGAGACAAAATTAAAGTTTTCAAGTTCTTTGTCACTAATTTTTCTATACATTTAAATTAATGATTTTTTGAACTCATTTATCAGTGATAATGGTTAAATTTTGATTTTATAATTTTGTATTTTATATTAAAAAATATATTTTTCCCTTTTTGTGATTTACAAATTATTTATTAATTATTGAAAAAAAAATTGTGCATTATCTATTCAATTTATCTTAGTTAAAATTAATTTTTTTCAAACAAAATAAGTATATAAAATAATTAGTTGCTTTAAAAATTTTTCTAAAAGTAGCAAATTATTCATAGGTTAAATATAATTTATTAAACAAAAGATGATAAAGTGTTGCTTGCACTAGTGGTAATGTTGTGTTCTACTTACTTAAAGGTTAAGGGTTCAAATTTTTGGTACCTACAATTTCAATGTGAAAGTGTTTTGAAATTTAGTTTAAAAATCAACTGGGTCGAACTAGATTGAACAGACCCAAAAATATTCAAAAACCGCCCATTGGCTCTGTGAAATCCGAATTTTGACCGGGCCACTTGCAACTATTTAAAATCAACTGGCCCAGCCCGGTCAAGGGCCCGGGTCACCGGTTTACCAAGTCGATCGTCCGGGCCGGGCCGATTTTAATAACTATGCTTCTAAGCATCCGTTTGGCCTCCTTTGAAACTCATTAAAGAGGTGTTTGATAGACATTTTTATGTAAAAATGCATTTTAGAATAGTAAATTGATGTGAAATGTGTAGTTAAAAAAAGGAAGGATTTTTGATTTACGTGTAATATTATTTTAATAAAAAATGTGTGGTTGAAAAGAAGAGAGAAAAAAATACATTTTAAAAAAAATGACTATCAAACGGGGCCTAAGTTATTTTTCCTGTCACTTTTCAGCCCGTCTTTTTTGACACAAGTGGGGCCTGTGTCTGCCACTTTTATCATCCATTGGCAGTAGTTTATTTCAGTCAAATGGACTGTTGAGGTAGCTGGACAAAAACACCCACCAACATTAATAACAAAAGACAAAATTACCCCTCATTCAATCACCCTCATCCACATTTCCATTAGTTAGTGGTTGGGAGGGTATTACCGTCATTTAGGCATATAAAGTGAATTGTACCCTCCATTATTAATGAAAACTTTTTCCTTTTATGATACACGTATGCTTTGAACAATTTGACACATGGGCCCCGCTTTTGTTTGAAAAATTGGCAAATAATGCGAATTAATGAGCTTTAATGGGGGTCAAACGAGAGCTAAAGATGAAAGTTTCACATTTAGTCTCTTGATTAAGTATTGACTTGCCTTGTGCTCGTGTGGTATTGAATGCAATTATGACATAATATAGCCATCAACATCAGCTTCAATCAGAGGTGTCAACATCTTGAAGAAAGTATAACAGATCTTCTCATCACTCAACGTTACAACATAGTTTCTTTCATCTGCAATTCTAACTTGAAATGCAGTACTTTCATTTGCCTCGGTAGTTGTATTCCGGTTCTGCATTTTTCCTGGCGATGTTTTGTCCTCCAATGCTGCAGTTTATTTTAGATGCTCAGTATTATTCACCATTTTGATGTACATTTCAATTTTCAGGGTTTCGTAACGGCGGTAAGTNGCTGCAGTTTATTTTAGATGCTCAGTATTATTCACCATTTTGATGTACATTTCAATTTTCAGGGTTTCGTAACGGCGGTAAGTCAAATGCGCTCATTTGTTCCAGCCATTTATGATGTGACTGTTGCTATTCCCAAAACTTCGCCTGCTCCCACCATGCTAAGACTCTTTAAAGGGCAATCTTCTGTGGTAATTTTTTCTGATCACTGAGCATGGTCTTAAAGTTGTTAATTTACTGTTAAATATAGTTGGATGCTACCTCGTGTTTCATAATGATATTTTCATCTGAGTATAATATTTGAACAAGGCATTTCAATATACTGTTGAATATTTGTTCAAAATCAATGGAGTGATAATGGGTTAATTATTGGGTTTAATTGTGGAATTAGTAAAATCAAAAGAAAATGAAAATGAAAATTTTGATTTTTTACCTATGCATTTTGTACGTACAAAAGATGTGTCTTGGCCAAAACAGAATCAAATTTGCTTTTACTATGCAACGCATAGTGTTAAAAATTAATCGTTGGCTGATTTTTCAATTTGAAACTTGGTGACCGTTTTGGATTAAAAGTTACCACTTTTCATCATGTTTTGACACTATTTTGTGGTGTATTTATTAAAGCCTATGAATAGATGATGAATAATCAATACAAACACATTAGAAACATTGAAAAATATTTTGAGATCCACGTATTATTTCACATTGAATCAAACTATTGATTTACATTCATATTCAATATTTTCCTAGTGTTCTTAAAGTTTTGGAGGATTGTACTCATGCTTTAGTATTAAATCCTTTACAAGGCTTGATATAATTCTACAAATCGTTTGCCAAAACTCTTAAACATCTCATTCAAATCTGAGAGGGGGCCAATATTGTTCTTGATGATAGAGATTCCGCGTTCGAGCCTTCAAATTTGTTCTTGACAACTTTCTGATTTCTTCATCTTGTTGCTGTAAATTTTTTATTTTTTATTATTATTTTTTAATCTTCTCCAAACCCCTTTGTTTTCAACATATACTACCTTGTTTTTTGAAATTGAATTCGTAACACAGATCCATAGTAATGCATTTCTTCGTATTATTATTATTTTTTTTAAAACATTTTGAGATAACAATATGTTAAAACCTTTCGAGTTTCAACCAAAGTTCAACTAGGAAAACGAAACGTGCAAGGTTTTGTTTACTGATAGGAGCTTTTTATAAGCAAAGAATTTGCTGTTTTGCAGGTTCATGTGCACCTTAAGAGGCACTTGATGAAGGATTTGCCTGAAACTGACGATGCTGTTGCTCAATGGTGTAGGGATGCCTTTGTGGCCAAGGTAAACTACTTTATCGAATCCCCAGTTTTGACGTTCAAAAATTGTTGTCACTTTGAAGTACACTTTACTTGAAAGAACATTTATCAAGTCTCGAAGAAGTAATCTATCATGATCGGTTTCTCTTTTGCTTTCTTCTAACAGGACAAGTTACTCGACAAGCATATAGCCGATAATTCCTTTGGTGAACAATTGCAAGATACTAGCGGGCCACTCAAGTCTCTTGTGGTATATGCATTGAATTCACATATCTCGTTTGTGTGTGTTCCACTGGTTCTCTACTGAACATTTGATAACCATTCTTCTCCTGCCATAACAGGTGGTTATTTCTTGGGCGAGTTTGCTTACACTTGGGGCCTGTAAAATTTTCCAGACATCTTCACTTTTATCCTCATGGAAAGGTCTCGCTTTTTCAGGAATCGGATTGACAATCATCACTGTTCTTATGCAAATCTTGATTCAGTTCTCGAAGTCAGAACATTCAGCCCCTTCCCGGGTCAAACCATCAAAGCCAACAAACAGTGTCTTTGGGTACTCAACAAGATAAGCAGCAGTAAAAGATGACATATAGCACCCACCCTTTGAGCGAAATGTGGCATATCATGAGTTGTTAGTCCATTTATATTTGTATTTACTTCAATAGCATACTCGCCCGTGCTTGATTCTCGTATGGAAACAAACTTTCATTAGTTTCTTGATCTAGTTGTGTTATCTAATTATGACGTGTGTTTAGTAGTGAACTTTTTGTTTTGATACCGTCGAGCATTGAGGACCATCCAATCTTTCATGCCAAACATGCATCAAAATAGAGTAGGACTGGTGTGGTGGCAGTGTAGGTTGAGATGGAGGTCGAAGGGTGGCAGATGCTGCAATCATGGGTCAGGTGGGTGGTGGCGAAGATGGAGCCACACACATCAGCACAACTAAAATTAACAATGGAAAGAACATGTCACATATGCCAACTAACCATGACTTCACATCACAACATAATAATGAGAAAGCAGGTAGACTAAGAAAATCATTAGATGTAATCAAAACAAAGTTCAGCGAGTCCACAAATAAAATACAAGACCCAATTGACAAATTGTGCTGTTCAACTATAAGAAGTTGAAACCAAGTCATATTCACAAAACAACCATACAAGTGACCAAGTAAATATAATTTCGAAATCAAATCTAATTAGTAAGCTCCATTCTGTAAGGAGCCTCACCTCGCCTCACCTCACCTCACCTCAGGGTTGCGGTAAAAAAGTTCACTATGCAATGGAGGAGGAAGTATAGTCTTGGCACGTTTGGTAAAGGATTAGACAACATTGAACAATATTATGATTGTACTGTACAGGATGCAGTACACCAAACATGCACTCTAGGTTCAACATGAATAAGGATCAGTCCCATCATGAAGAGCACAGCATACTGTAGCTTTTTGATGCCCTCGATAGACCTTGATTTCCTCACCATTGGACATGGACCATAATCTTGCTGTTGAATCAGACGAAGCTGCATAATTGAGAATTTTCAAGTGTCAAGAAAAAACGAAATTGCATAGTCAAAACACCATGAAAGCACACATCATGTTTAGCACAATTTCATATCAATCTTGTTGTAGGAGTTTCTATGATTTAAGATATTGTATGTTATATATAGAAACATTACGGTGTATAAGATTGTTGCAAATTATCAACAGTTCATCAGTAAGACACATCAATTACAGGTTCTTAAGAGGTCAATTCCCCGACTTAGTTAATAGAATATATTGTTTTTGGCTTCTCTTTTTTAACAGTGTTGAGTCTTGTTCAATTCTCCTTACTAAACATGTCGATATGCCAAAGTGCAGTTTTAAAACATTATTTTTGTAAGAAAGATTACAGCCAACGACGAGTTAATAACCCAAATTGTCATTGAACTTTGCAAAAAGTTTTCACCGGGTCACTGAACTTTAAAAATCACCCAAGTCATCGCTGAACTTTGTAAAATGTTTTCACATGGTCACTAAATTTTGCAAAAGATTTCCACCGATTCACTGAACTATAAAAATTATTTTATTCATCACAGAACTTTGCAAAAACTTTCCCAGGGGCCACCGAACTAGGAAAGTTTTTACAAAGTTCAATGATCTTGTGAAAATCTTTTAACAAATTTAGTGATGAATGGAGTGATTTTTAAAGTTCAGCGACCCCATGTATTTCTTATGCAAAGTTCAGTGATGACTCGGGTGATTTTTAAAATACAGTGACCCAATGAAAACTTTTTGCAAAATTCAATGACTATTTGGATTATTAACCCCAGACAAGTACTATCCATTACATAAAGATATGGACGCCTTCTAAAGCATACCTGTGATTAAAAAAGAGCCATCCACTGAGAAAACACAATCCCAAACCCACCTCTGATGCCCTGAAAGCTCATTAAGATCAAAATAAAGCTTGATGAACAGATTACAAAATTAACACCATGTTTAGCCAATCTTTAAAAAAGAAGTGAAAGTTCTAAAATTATTTGTTTTCAAACATGTTTGATGTTACCTTTTACTATAAGAAAAAAAAAATTATTTTGGAAAACCTTGGGGCCTGTTTGACATAGGTTTTTTGAGTAGCTTTTGTGAAAAGTAATATTTCGGAGAATGTGTGATTAAAAAATAAGGAAAAGTTACAGTTCCATGGGTAAAATTATTTTATTGGGAGAATGAGTGGGAAAAATGAGATTTAAAGAATCTATACCAAATAGGAGCTTAATGTCAAAATAAGTAACTTCTAACTATAACCAATCAGGAAAAAAATATTTATTCTTAAACTTTCTTATTTATTATAAGTTAACTTTTCTGAGCTTAGCCAAACATGCTCTAAGACCTGTTGCAGCCAATAAATGAGAAGCTAATTTATACCGACTAGTGTTTTCTCCAAGGTAAAGCCGTCTAAATTCCATATTCTCACAGTATGGTCAGCAGATGCGGTAGCCAAATACCTAAAAATCACCATTTTGAAAAGAGAAGTGAGTAAAACAGGTTCAACATCCGAATAACATCAAATAACACTTTTGGAGAACATTAAAACCGGAAAAGCCAAAACAATTTACGGAAATATCAATTAGATAATTAGGCCTTGAAGGCAGTATTAGATTCTGACCGATGAGGTTCACACAACTCGGGGGAAAGGAGACATTTAAGGATGTATCCATCATGAGCCTGCAGCTTATGAAGAGGCTCAAAGTTGGTCATTGTCTGCAATAGAATGCGAATTCACGTTAAAATGCCAATTGTAAAGTTCATGTCAAAGTATAGATAAATATGCATCTAAATGTTACTTGGGTCCCTTGCAACAAGCGCCAGACGTAACATGTCCCACGATTATTTGCAGCCACTACCAAGCTTCCATCCCACATCACGGTCAAAGATCGTACAGCTGTATCCACTTCAGGAACCTGATGATATAGTTTAAAACATTATCGAATTTTCCGATCATCCCCCACAAGAAAATCTATTACTTTACAATTTATGAGATGACAAATTACTATGATCGAGGCTGCCTTGTAATGAAAAGAACTCGAGAAAATACCCTACTCACAGCTTTGCTTTTAAGGTGTATTCTACTCCAAATTTTATTTGAAAAGTTAATAACATCCACCTTCCCCTGAGATTTTTTCATTATGCTAGAAGACCCCCGTGGATCTGGTACTCAATTCTTCCTTGTCAGATTCTTCTATTACTGGAAACTAACATGGTGGTAAACGCCAAGGGGAATTATGTTATGAAAAAGGGCAATTGAAGGGGAGTACACTGTAACTACAAATTCACATAGGGAATATGTATAATGGACAAACCATAGGTGAGTTTAAGTAATTAACCAAATTGAAAACTTGCAATCTTTATAAAAGAAAGAGTAGGCCAAGTTTTTCATGTAACTCGTATACAATTGCAGGCAATGTCTTAGCAACTTACCAACTCACAGCTGCATGAATTTGCTGTCAAGTCCCAGACACGAATGTTGCCATTTTGGTCCCCAGATATCAGCTCAGTCTGCAAATCAATAAAGGAGTATAATGCAAAGAGCCATCTTATGACATCTAAAAAAGCTAAGCCCCAGTTTGGTAAAAATTCAAATCCAGATTTAATCTAAAGTCGAAGTCAACAACTAATTTTTACTACACATTTCATCAATTTTTATCAAAATCTACTAAAATTCTGATTTTAATCCTCTTCAAACAGGGGCTAAATCTGTCTGACACTCAGACTTAATTACATCCTAAATTTTTCCTTGAAAACATGATTAAACATTATAGTAATGCCAAAGAAATGCAATATTAAAGTCTCTTTACAATATCACATTATATCTTCCAATAAAGCCACATGGAGATATTGGTAAGCCCTATATCCTTGTCTATTCTACAAAACAAGCCTCAAAGATCCATTCAACTACTAATTTTCTCTACGTCAGGGCAAGAAAGTCATCAGCAATATTAACTAGGATATATTTTCTCAGTTTAACTTATAACCTATACATCTATAATAAAGCAAATAGTTAAAGCCCATTATGTGGAACAGGTAACTGGAATTGCAAAGGAGATATGAACACAAAGGAGAGTATCAGTTTTAATTCCACATGCCCTCGGAAACTAAATTGAAAATCATAAAATAGACAAGACATATATAAGTCACCGCTGTTAAACCGGAACCAGTTCCCTTCTCACAACCTTAAAGAATTCAAATTTTTTTTGGCCAAAAATATAAATCCATTGAAAGAAAGAAAAACATTGTTGAAAGGCACCTGATTTGGGTGCAAAACAACAGTATTAACTGCGGCACGACTTTCATATTCCCTCTGACAACCTGGTGCTCTACATTATCCAGAGCAAGAGAATATTTAAACCTACATCAAACAAGAGGGAAAAAAGGAATTTCGAATTAAAATCTCTTTAACTTCCTCCACCTCAAATCCCAAATCTTCACTGTGCCATCTTCAGAACCTGAATACATCCAATTTCCATCACATTGAAATCCAACTGCCATAACATTATTAGTGTGTGAATCATAGCTCATCACCTGACACAGTAACAAAGATGTCACAAAAATTAGCAGGAGGCAATGTTTGAAGATATAAAAAGAATATTCAGAAGAGGAGAAATATACAGGCTGAGGGCTGTTTGAGTTAATGTCAAATAACCGAATATGAGGATTTCCAGCTGCAGCCAGGTAGCGTTTATCTGGGGTAATCTCAAGCCGGTTCACTAGCTGTTTGGATAAAATAAAATAGAGGGATGGATGCATCAGTTTTGACTAAGAAAACACCCAATCCGCATAAAATTAACCTTGCTCTTACTGTTCTAAGGATAAAAGCAAACATTTCATACACGTGAATTATCTATATTCCACTGTGATTCATGAGAGACCTACAAAGTGGTATGTTGTTCGTGCATTATATTCATGAATGGACAACATCAAACAAGAAGCAATCGTATTCACAATTTACCAATTTTATCACAACAGGTTTGCATCAAACGAGTAAGCAATATACAGACACAATTCTTAGAGAAAAAAGTATGGATTGTTGAGCATCATCAATGTGTTGCAACCATGCGAAACAGCAAAAGGAAAAATGAAAAGAGATTCCATTGCTTATTTATTACATCCTTGGACATCAATGTACCTACGCCCACACACTCCAGCGACCAGATACTTGTACCACTAAATGCAGCAAGGTTTAGTCTATTTGCTAATAATCATTCTAAATTAATGGCTTGTATGTGCTGCTCTTTTTTTCCTCAAGGATCCCTAATCAGCATCATCCTCCTCACAATCTTTTGAGCTAAGATAAGTGGCTAATTCTACACATATTTTGGCCAGAATGATGTGAAAAATTGAAAGCAAAGCCAGCCACTTTCAAAAATTAAACATTTAACCACAAACTTGTATAGTGTCCACTCTAAAGGTAATTTGTACACGTGTGGGATCACAACCTATAAACCTCATAGTCATATTCAGTAAAATATCAAACTTATTGACAGCTCTAGTATACACCCAATTACTTCAATTACAACAGCATTTAAATAATTAGAGAGAGAAAGAGAGAGAGAGAGCGCTGAATGAAAATAAAAGGCCGAAAAAGAGAGAGGAACATACAGATTCCGGGTACTGGATGGTCCTATAGCACCGCCCACTTTTTGCATCCCAGAATCGAATGGTGTGATCATAGCTCGCTGTAGCTAGAACCACAGGTGGTTGACTCATAGCTGTTCTTTTCCTTTATCGGTACGGCTAAAAGACATGAGAAAAATTAACACAAAAAGGTCAAAAAATACCTGGAAATAAATTGAAATGAAAACCAAAAGTAATGTTCTTTTGGGGAAATACGGTTTAAAATCAATTGGGTTCGGATGAAATTCGGATATAAATAAATAAAGAAGTCATTTTTCATATGAATTACCCGGAAAATTGCAGACGGAAAATTCAAGTCATTGATGGGTTTTGTGAAGGGTTTTGAGGAGATCCAAATACAGGAAGCCTGTTCTTCAGCGCAGTACAATTACCATAATAGAGGCCTTTCAGTTTTTAACTTATAAGTAGAAAATCTCGAGAATTTTTCATCTACATTTTTCTTGTAATTCCTCTAGGAGAGTTGTATAGCGAAGGTGGCCGGTGTGTAGACTTCTTTTTCGAACAGAGCAAATTAATTTGCAAATGTTTTGCGGCGATTTTACTAAACTATACTTTTTTTACTTACAAGTAGATGTCAAAATACCTCCAGAGATTTCCACATCCACTCCATTGTTCCACGCAACTCACCTTAGGTCCGGATTTCATCATTGGGCCGGGTTTAAACCCACCAACTCGTTTCTGCCTCTCTGTCATTTGCCCACCCAAAAGCTAGACCTAAGTATATATAGTGCTTACTTAGTAAGAATTATGTTAATTGATTTTTTAATTGTTAGAGATAAAGTGTGTCCTACTTGTGAGAAAAGAATTCAAAAATGATAGATGGAATAGTGAAATAACAGTCAAAAAATTGATTTTAATTGGATTTTAAACTACACCAAACATGCTCATATTTCTATGCACCCACCAAAACCCTAAACCCTTTCTGTTTGTCTGGAAAATGCAATTTTGCCTCCTCCCTTAACAAACCACCCTAAGTTCTACATTTTCTACTCCCTTTTCAACCCCATTCGTAGCCATGGCCGATGTTCAGGTATCACAATTCGAGAAAAAGAAGAAAAGCAAATCTAAAGGATCCGATTCGATAAGCCCCACAATTGACGCCATTGATTTCTTGATAAAGCCCCAGAGCTATGCTCCTGCCATTGAGACACTTCCCAGTGGTCGATTCTACTTAAAAATTATGACAATTGCATGTACGTACTGGACACTACACCACCATTCCCTCTGGTTTCTCCCCATAGAAACGCCCCTTGCCTGAGCACGTTAAACACGGTATTTTTAATCTCAATAAACCCGCGAACCCCTCGTCCCATGAAGTTGTGGCGTGGATTAAGCGCATTTTGCGAGTTGAGAAAATTGGGTGATGATGCCAAAAATCGTATCTGGTAGATCCCGGGTTGAGGACTGACATGGAGCACGAACAACGTCTTCCGGTACCTGAAACAAAAGCAACAAAGTGTGTGCTCATCGCCCCTCCGAAACTTAAGTCAGAAAGAGGAATTGGGAAAAAGCATATAATACAACTATATTGTAAAAGCGTACCTGAATGATGAGCATTGGTTCTGTATTTATAGATGTTGGTGATCGAGTTGTAAAAGGATTCAACCACTTAGAGTCCTTACCCTTATCAAATAAGAGTGATTGAGTTATACTATAATTACTCCTTGGCATTTGACATGGACTATAATACATTTGATGTTTGGGTAAGGACGAATATAAAGAGTTTGAGTTATAAGAGGACTAAAACACGTAAAAGGCTCGAGACGAGGACAATATTTTGGCATGTGGGCCGACCTTAGCAAGGCCAAATTATTAGGCCCGACCACATTTTAGAGGATATTTGAAGATGAGAGTGCTCGAGATATTGACCTCAGGCTATGCTTGAAAGTTTGGGGTTGGGCTATAATTTTTGTACACATCATAGGCCCCTATGCATCCATGTCAGAGCTCATGTGCAATGTAGAAGTTTCTGGCATGAGATGCATAAGGATATTAGGTTCAAGAATAGACATGCTCATGTCGAGATGATAGGCCCCCGAGCACATAGTTTAAGATAGTAAGTATTGACTATTTTAAAAGTTTGAAAAGAATGAGCTCGATCTCAAGGCTCATTAAAAATCTTGAAAGGAAGGATTTGATCGTCTTTGTTGAAATTTTTGAAAGAACTGAGCTTGACTTCGACCTTGTAAAAGAATTTGGCATGAATGAGCTCGACCTCGAGCTTTACCAAAATTTGAAATGAAAGAGCTTGGCCTCGAGCTTTGTGAAAGAGTTGAAATGAAAAGGCTTGATAGATAGGTCAAGAATCATATAAGAGACTAAGCTCAATCCTATTCTGAATATAATTATCCCAAGCTCTTTGACTGGGATTTTGACAATGTATTGAGCTCGAGGATAGGCCCCTGAGCCCAATATTAAACAATTATCCCGAGCTCGTCAAAATTTTTGAGAACTCAGCTGAATGAACTCGGGATGAAAAATAACATCGAGGTTTTTACTTGGAGCTGAAATTTTGGGATGTGTGAATAGGGCGACGTTTAGGTACTTGCACAAGGCAAGGTTTATGTTCTTGTACGAGGCAAGGCTATGGGTGCTTGATCGGTGTAAGACTTAGAGTGCTTGCGTAGTGCAAGGCATAGGGTGCTTGTTCGGGGCAAGACTTTATACTAATTTATCGACTAGCTGCTTTAGACGTTAAACATGATTTAGCTGCATGCTCGGGACACAACCCTACACTAAATGTAGGAGTTGATTTAGCTGCATGCTCGTGGCACGGCTTCACGCTAAGTGTTAGAGTTTATTTAGTTGCGTGCTCAGGGCACGACCTTACGCTAAATGTCGGAGATGATTTAGCTGCATGCTCAGGGCACGACCTTACGCTAAATGCAGAAGTTGATTTAGCTGCGTGCTCGAGGCACGGCCTTATGCCAAATGTAAGAGTTTATTTAGCTGCATGCTCGAAGCACGACTTTACACTAAATGTAAGAGTTTATTTAGTTGCATATTCGGAGTACGGCCTTACGCTAAATGTAAGAGTAGTTGCATGCTCGGGGCACGACCTTACGCTAAATGTAGAAGTTGATTTAGCTGCGTGCTTGGGGCACGGCCTAAAGCTAAATGTAAGAGTTTATTTAGCTACGTGCTCGGGGCACGGCCTTACGCTAAATGTAAGAGTTTATTTAGTTACATGCACGGGGCACGACCTTACGCTAGATGTAAGAGTTATGTAGAAGTTGATTTAATTGCGTGCTCGGAGCATGGCCTTACGCTAAATGTAAGAGTTTATTTAGCTGCATAACCGAGGCACGGCCTTACGCTAAATGTAAAAGTTTATTTAGCTGCATGCTCGGGGCATGACCTTACGCTAAATGTAAGAGTTGATTTAGTTGCGTGTTCGGGGCACGACCTTACGCTAAATGTATACTTTTAAAGATTGAAACACAGATCATATAATGTATGTTGTATGACTGACATCTTTTAAAGATCCATAATATTTATTCTAGCATGTACGTACGAGCTTCTATTTTAATCTCAACTAATTATGACAGTTGTTCCATATTAGCAGTGTAAAAGCTATAGGCAAATAATGGTTTCATAATATTTTCAATGCATAGCTTTTGTTCATTAAAATGTAAATCAATAAAATCATTAAAAGCTCAAGCACTTATCTAACATAACAAATCAATTGCTCAAGTGCATTCATTAGTTTCGAATTACAAAGTTTCCATTTTCACAATGATGATTAATTCTTGAAGCTATAGTTCTCATGTAAAACTTAGCAAAATTATGCAGGTGTCCTGAATTGATGTCTAAGCAAAATTTCCACATGAATTTTAGAAATTGACATTTTTCTTTTTGTTAATTATCGTCAACATGAGTGCAAAGAATTTTATTTGAAGGTAAGCTTCGTTTTTATATTTTTATAATTAAGTGCGTGCATTCCCATAGACTAGTTGAAATTACATTATATCCCTATCAATACATAAATGGCATGCTATCAAAAGATGAACATGATAAGAAAATGGAAAGGCTAGCATGGTGAAATATCCATAGTTGAATTGCTTGGGGAATATAAAATTCACAACAGAATAAAAAAATGAATATCTCCGTTAGGCAAAAACATACCCGGGTTTAGAGCTAGGTGTTGTGTATCTCCATCTAAAACATTGACTTATTCGCATTATCTTTAGTTTGCATGCACTTGCAAGAACAATTCCTTTGAGATGACCATCTTCAATATCGAGGCCCCCGGTAGCAATAAACAAATATTTTCTCGGTGCTGATAAATTTCCAATCATAAACGATTCCATGGACATGGAATGTAAATTGAAATTTCTAATTCCTCAATAGATTGCTTCTGGCGTTCTCCCACATGATTTAATTAAAATAGATGATAGCTTAAAGAGAACCAGTAAAACCATGGGGCCCAATAATCAGTTTGTGAAACACAAATAAGAACCATTAGCAGCAAGTTAACATGTCCAAAGTGCCTTATGAAGCTAGATGCAGTGAGACCCAATAAATGTTTAGCCCAAGTCCTTTTAACATTAAAGTAGAATAAAAAGAGACCTTCCCATGAGTCCATGACTTTACATTGGGCCCAAAAGGAATAAATAGGACGAGTGCCAATAAAATGACTTTGAGAAGTTATGTGGTCCGATCAAAATTAATCCTGGTGAGAAATTTCCATGAAGTTTGGGCCCAAGTCTGCTAAAGCCTAATAATAAAACCCAAAGTAAATTCTTTCAATCCCTCAAAACCAGATTGCAAGTTAGGCCCAAAGTGACCCATGGATATTTTGTCCTAGCCAAATAGACCCGAATAAAACAATCAAAATTTGGAGAAAAATCCATCTGGAAGAAGGACAATTTGTTGCAAAAGATTGCGTGTGCCTAGGAAAAAGTAACCTAACCATTAATGCTTGAAGCAGTGAAGGACCTCGAACAACCCATGAATAAGCAATCGGGCCGGTCTAAAAGGAAGAGAGTAGATTCACGTGGCTGTAGGTTTTACGACAATTTAGACGGCTAAAAAAATTGCGCGGAGCTACCATATTTCATCAAATGAATTGCTTAAAGATCCACGTCTCAAATTATTTTTGAGGACTTGTCACGATTCTCGAAACCCCACCAAAGAAATCCTAATTATGAAGTGCGGAGTCGTTGTCAAAGTCTGCATTGGTTATTACATACAAAACACACGTACACGACTACAAGAAATGAGGGCTACCTTGGACCCTACTGCTGAAACAAATTTATACATACCCACGCACGGAGAGAGAAGCCGACAACTGGAATTAGAGCTGCCTATTGCTGAAATAAATTAATATATACACACTTTGGCAGCGGGAGCTTTGAAGAACATATATATTTTACACAAACAAGGTTGACGGTTGCTATTTTTATATAGATACTCCCACCAAAAAAAAAACAGCCTTGGAGAGAATTGTGGCTATTTGGAAGAGGCTAAACATTAGGGCTAGAGTTAACTATGAATCGAAGCGGATTGAGGGGGATTTTTGTTGTGAGATTCGAACCATGGTATTTTG